ACCCAATGACTGTTAACTCTTTGCAGGCTGTTTGCTGTGGTTAAGTCCCCAGTTAGTCTGCATTGCATGGGTAAGTGAATGTCATGCTGGGGAAACATGCCTGCTTAACAGCTCTGGTGGAAACTGTCATCCTCTCACTAGTCACAGCATAGGTACAACGCAGGCCGCAGCAGTGCAGGCTTTGCCCACGCCACGGCACTCCCTGCTAGTGTGCATCAACCACAGAGCCCTTTCAGTTCTTGGCCTACAATACCCAGCTGTGCGGGATCATATGCTCCAGCAAAGATCTGCTCCCCATGCACTGAGGGACGGCCCTGCGCCCCCTACACCAGCGTATGGTCCTGTGCCCCCTGCACTGGGGTGTGGAACCATGATTAGATCTGGGACCCGCTCTCCATGCTGTGCTGGGCGCATTGCACAGCTTTCACCTCCTGGCTCGCTGCCATTGTCGGCCTGCCTTGGCGTTCTCAACATTTCAGTGTATGGCTGTATAAATGCCAAGACACAAACAAGCAATTCCTCAGCCTCTTATATAATGAGCTGGCTGGGAGTCTGGTCAGGGAAGGTCCGGCAAGGCTGGGGGGAAAGGGGGATAAGGAAAAAGTGGCCTAGAAGCACAAAGCGATAGAGGTGGATGGCAAAGCTTTTGTAATACAGCTTTATGGCGCCATGCTTCCCTGCTGACAAGTCCGGAGCTCAGAGCTCCCTGTCCTGCTGCCCACCCCAGTGAGCCCAGAGGTGAGGGGGGAATCCTAGCCCCACTGAAGTCCACGGCAAAACTCCCATTGGCTTCAGTAGACTCTGGATTTTACCCCATGTTCCCCCTCCCTCATGCTGTGCCCTGGGCTCCGAGCCCCCTGGGAAGCAGGGCTCCACAGCTCCCCTGGTTACGTGCTGATTTGGGGGCTCAAGTTTTACCCTGCTGAGTCCTGTATTTCCCCACCATTCATCCACTATTTCCCCCTCTGCCGAGCAGAGCCGGGAGACATTTTTCAGATGAAACTTTTTCTGCTGAACGATGCAGATTCGGGTCAAGAATCGGGGTTGAATCCGCCAAATTATTTCAAAAAGCCCACCCCAAACCAAAATGGGAACGGTTTGTTTCCACCGTTTCCAAATGCAACATTTTGAATTTTTTATTGGCAACAACTTTTCATTTCAAATTTGACTTCGGTTTCATTAAAACAAAAAAAAGTTTAAAAAAGAAATAACCCTCCAAAATGAAATGAAACATGTCGTTTCAGGTCAAACGAACCACATTTTTTGACCCTTGCAGTGTGCCAAAAAACCCGGATTTTTTTCATATTGGATCGACCTGAGACTAACATTTTTTTGTTTAGTTTAGTTTTTAGTTCAGCCACTGAGCCAAAAAATAAGTTCTGCTGGTGCGTCCTTGGTTCAGGAGAAGAGGTAGAGAAGACAGGGACTCTTGAAGCTGCAGGGGAATGAGTAACAGCAACCAGATAAGATAGAGGGCTCCGAGATGTGTCATAGCCTGGGGCAGATGGGAGCCTACACCCCTCCAGATGTTGGAATACAACTGTGGGACACATGCAACGTTAAGAGCTGGAGCTCAGGGGCGTCTGCAGTGAAATAAGCCCCATTGTCTCTGACCTCAGCTTCATGACTCAGAATTCCTGATGCAAATAGTTTACTGTAATAGGAAAAAGTCCCTTGTGTGGGGCGCAGGCTGAGTGGAGTCAGCAGTGAGGGGGTAGTTATGGGGCTGGTAATGATGTATATTCCAAAATGAAAAGGCGGGAAAGAGGCTCACTTGCATTCCTGCTGTCAAGGGGGAGGCTTGAAAAGTAGGGGCTGTGCCATCCTTCCAAACACCCGCCCCCTCACGCTGCCAAGGTCAGTGGGTTATCTGCCTCCCACACATGCCAGGAAAGCAACTTCTCTGTCTTAAGGTCCCAATCTAGCAGCTGGATCCACACGGGAGCCATGGTCAATGCACCGAGATCCAGCTATGGCATTGGGGCCTCTGGGCAAATCTGCAATTTTGCTTGTCTATTTTTTTACGCCACTCAGCTTTGGACTGCAGGAGCTGCTCACTCCTGGGGAAGCAGCCAAATCCAGAGGGATTGTGTAAAACCAGGTAAGTTACACTCATAATCAGATTCCCTTAATCCTACTTCCACCTACTTCCTGATGAGTAAGAGTGTAATATACCTGCTGAAGAGCCAGAGGAGGTATAAGGTTAAGCAGGATGGGAGCTACTTTACCTTGCACCTGGTCACACCTTTTTGTAGTTGCTTTTCTTACACCTACTTCACTTTCTTTATATTCCGCTAGACTCTGGGCCACGTTCAGAGGGATTGTGTAATAAAGGAGTGTAAATGAAGGCCTGTTCTACACCTAAAACATAGGTCGACCTACATTTGTCACTGAGGGCTGTGAAAAATTCACCCCCCCTGTGCGACTCAATTAAGCTGACCTCAACCCCAGTGCAGACAACGCTAGGCTGACGCGGCAGGATAGAACCCTCAGTCTACACATCCTCCCCACTCCGAGACACTTAGTTAAATCAGACCGCCTCCTTCTCTGCCGTTGTCACTGTATTGGAGAATTCTTCTGTTGACCAAGCTACCTGCCTTTTGAGGGGGTGTATGTCCCACCGCAAAGAAGAACTCCTTCTGTGCCTGTAGCAAGTGTTTACATGACAGCAGCGTCGGTGCACCGGGGTTTAGTGCTTGTAGTGCAGACATGCCCTACCTGTAGCAATGTGCGGGTGTAGGTCTAGACAAGGAAGTTTTAGAGACAAAGCAATCTAAGTCGGTGTAACATACATGGGGCCAGATTGTGCCCCTTGCAAGCTATCCCTGCCCTCTTGGGATCTTATACTCTTAAATGAGGAGGAATAGTCTTGTGGTTAAAGCCCTGGACTGGGACTCAGGAGATCTGGCTCCAATTCCTTAGCCTACCACAGACTTGCTGTGCCATTTTGGGCAAGTCTCTACGGGTATGTCTACACTGATTGTAAACCCAGGGCTGGGGGACCCAGGTTTGTGGACTCAGTGTTTCCAAGCCCGCACTTGAGCATTCACACTGCATTGTAAACCTGGGTTTAGAATTGTCGGACCCAGCTCTCACAGCCGTGCTAACGCGTCCACACTGCGCTACGCAGACCTTCTGACTGAGGTCTGCGGCTTGACTTGCATCCACACTGCAAAATGACAGGGCTTGGACCCGAGTTACAGCAAGACTCAGGCTCTGACCCACCTCCCAGCAGGGTCCGTAGGACCCAGTTCCTGAGCGCTTGCTCAGACTGATTTGTGTGTGGTGTGGCAGAGCTCTGACCTTGTCCCCGCGGGTCCTGCGCTTCTAGGCGGTATATGCTAGCCTCAGTGGCTCTCTGTGACCCTCCACGTGACCCTCTCTCTCTGGGGCCAGGGTTACAGTCTACTGAGCCCTTTTCATCATAAGCCAGCAAGGAGGTTGGTGAGAGAATTCCCACAGTCTCTGTTGTCCCTAGGGCTTGTTTTAGAACAGTTTAGCCTCCTGTCCTGACAAGGGCCTGACTTCCCCTCCCAGGAGGTGTTCCTATAGTGGTGGGTTGGGGGGACCCGGGCCCACCCTCTACTCCGGGTTCCGGCCCAGGGACCCTAATGGTAGCAGCTGTTGGCAGCCAACCTTTCACTGCCAGAGTTGCTACATTTCCCTGGGCCACTTCCCCACAGCTCTCCTGCTTCTCCCTTACCTTAGGGCTCCCTTGTCAATAACTTGAGGGTGTCTTCATTAACCAGTCCTTCAGCCGCAATTCCTCTCCTCTGGATCCCTGGCTCTCCTCTGCATGACTGGAGTGAGCCCTTTTTATAGTATCAGCGGGGCCTTAATTAGAGTCAGGTGGTCACATTAGTTTAATGGCCTCACCTGACTCTTTGCAGGTTAATTGGAGTCAGGTGTTCTCATTAGCCTGGAGCAGCCCCTGCTCTGGTCAGTCAGGGAATAGAAAACTGTTAATCCAGTGGCCAGTATATCTGCCTTCTGCTATTCTGCTGTACCCAACTGGCCTGGGTGTATCACAGTGGACATACCCTCCGTCTGTAAAATGGGGATAATGATACTTCCTTTGTCTGTCTTGTCCATTTAGACTGTACGCTCTTTAGGACAGTGCCTGTCTCTCGCTATGGGCTGCACAATGGGAGACACTAGCCATGACTTGAATACCAATCACAGACACTTGTCAGTTGTACTTTGGTGCTGTGATCCATAGTAACATAAAGGAGTCATATTTTATTAAACATTCAGTAACTTAAAGTGAAATGATTAATGTAACCCTGGCATGTGAAAATTCAACTTACACCTGCTGATAATACCCCCTAGCAGAGATACTTACGAACTCTTACAGTACATATTTACATCCTTTACATATTCAAATACACACACATATTGATGACACATCGGTGAAAGAATTCATAAATTCACCTTGTGGGTCAGAGGTAAGGTGGAGACCAGACAAGGCCGGGGAGGTAATATCTTGTATTGGACCAACTTCTTTTGGTGAGAGATGAGCTTTTGAGTCCCCCAGAGCTCTTCTTCTGGTTAAGGTTGTTATTAGCATGTTTAAGATGAATTTTCGTGGTCAGAGATGTGTCCAGCAAGTTAGGTCAATATCGTCACTGAGCAAACATTTGAACTGTAAAAGTAAAAACCGTAACAGCATATGTATGTAGATTACCTTAACTACTGTACCTGCCTGTATTTATACATCCCCAAGACATTTCCCATCTTTTCATTGTACTTTTACATGAGTAGGGTTCTCCCCATCTTGGGCACAGGGACGCTGAGGCACAGAGCAAAAGACAGTGACTTGGGCAAGGTCACACAGGAATACTGTGGCAAAGCCAGGCTTTGAACCCAGATTGGCCAAGTCTCAGTCCCATGCTCCAAGCACCAGCTCACGCTGCCTCATAGGTAGTTTGTGAGACCCAGTGCATGTTCAGACATGCTATTGTGTTACTTAGCTAGCCTGGCTGTCATGTTTTCTCCATCAGGGTCTGGGGCAAGGTTCTTATCTGGAGCATGAACAAACCAGATCGTTCTGGTGATTATTTCCGTAGTCCAAGAGGAGGTCCACGCGTTGCTGCTACTGCTGCATCAAGGTGGTCGGTGGATTCGTCCTGCTCATACTGATAGCATCAGTCTTCACGGTGCTGTGGTATTTTCTAGGTAAGGGCCTCACTCCACAGAGGAGCGGGCTTTCAGACACGCTGAGGGGAATCAGGTGTATTGAAATGGCTAAGGTTTCCAAAAGTGACCAGCGATTTGAGGGCCTCCCAAGCCAGATCGGACACTTGCAGTGAAGTCCTGATGGGTTCAGGTCAGGTTGCCGGGTGTTGCCTAAGACACCTGGAAGGGGATTTTCAGAAAATCAGGCCACTTTGAGGCATCTCACTTTGGTCACCTGAAAACGGAGCCCCCTCCCCCCCCCAAATCACCAGTCACATGTGCAAATTGGCCAATGGGATTGCTCACTTGAGTCTGGCTTATAGGGTCAGACCCATAGTTTGTATAGCCTTGAACTAGGACCTCATCTTCATGAGGGTTTCATAGTGTATCCTTGCTCTCCATTCCCTTCACCATCGTATCACGTTTAAACTGGTCCATAGCCCCACTGATGTCAGTGGCGCTCCTCCAGCCCCATATCCTTGCCCTCACGGCGCTGCATGCCTCCATTCTAGTCTGCCCCTCAGATCTCCTCTCTTATCCTGCCCCTTGCTCATTGTGCTCCCAGCAACGCCACTTCAGTAGCCTATTTGTTTCCTTTCTTCTGCAACACTCACAGACCCTCGCCCATGTCAAAAGCCGTCTCCACCCAATCGCTCCTATGGAGAGAGAGAGAAGAGAATGAGGTCAGTCAGACAAAAATATGCCAAACCCTCCTCTCGGACTCCTAGTCTCACCACTTTGGGCTAGATGCTGAGGCCCTTAAACCAGTTGAATAGGAGCCCACTGACACCAGTGGGACAGACGCCTCAGCTGGAGTAACATGGTATAGTTCTGCTGAATGGGAGTGTACCTACTGGGAGTTTTGGCCTTCTGAGCAGAGTATGGTATTACCCAACGTGAGTAAAGCCCTTAGGTTATGTAAGCTCCTCAGAGCAAAGACTGTCTTTATCGGTATGTCTGCAGTGCAGTTAGCCCAGTCCCAGGGAATTGTGGGAGATTCTGTCTGTCCTTCTGGGCACACTGGGAAAATTGTGGGAAGGCAGTGCAGGACTGTCAGCACTCGAGTGGTTTAGCCTGCGTCCTCACTGCCTAGCGGACGGGTTACAAGCCCAAGTGAAAGCCTCACTCGGGTTCTAGCCTATACCCCAGGATGGGTCAGCCAGCCTGGGTTGAAAAGCACCACTCAACTCAGGAGAGAGGGCTTCATGTGTGGACGGGATGGGGTGAGAGACAACACACGAGTAAGAACCCACGTTAACTCTGCAGTGAAGACAGATCCTAAGCTGGTGTTGAGCACATTGTCAGTGCTTAAATAATAACAATAAGGAAATTTCATTAATTAGGTGCCAGGTCCTCAGGTAGTGTAAACCGATGAAGCGCCATTCCTATATATTTAAAATAAGAGATGGCTGTGCAGAAGAGCAAACCCGATTGGCTATAAGAATAATATTCAATGATAATATAAGTGATACATGACAATCAATGAAGTCTCTTCCCTTGGAGTATATAGTAAAAGCTTTTCAGTAGTTTAGAGTAGCTTTAATGCAAGGGCTACCTTGTGTAATGAAGCATAGGGGGGGAGCAGCATGAATCAGACCAAACTCTGTTTAAATCAGTTGAGCTAAGCTAGTGCAAAGCTGCTGTGAGAGCAGAATCGTGTCCTAAAGCCCCGATTCCCCTCTCTGTTACACTGAGGTAAATCAGGAGTGACTCCAGTGCAGTGAATGGAGTTACCCCCGTGTCAAACTGGGTGAAGGGAGAGAAGAATCAGGCCCTGAAGATTGGGAGCAAAATTGAAAGGCAAAAGTTACAAACGTCTACCATTGGAAGACGTTTTTGAGGAAACAAGCTTGGGGAGTGATACTGCAGAGTTGGGAACAGCCTGGTTGAGAGCCACAGGCTACTTCTGGGCCCACACCACCACATATGCCTGCAGTAACTGAAACAGGTGTAACCTGGGCAGTAAAATGGATGCAGAGCAGAAATGGGCTCATGCCAAAACCGGATCCAGAGTCGGAGAACACCAAAGCTCAGGTTTGGGTTCAAAGAAAGGAGCCAGACATTCAGTGAGGTGAGCTAGTATGGCTCTAGCACCGTGGCATAGTGTGTGTAGGGGCCCTGGTTTGGGCCTCTGGAGAGCAAGGCTCCGTTCTTAGCTCTGCCACGGGCCTGCTGGGTGACCTTGGGTAAGTCACTGCCCCTCTCGGTGCCTCAGTTTCCCCATCTGTAATCTGTACAATGAGGAGACTGCTATTGACCTCCTTGGTAAAGCACTTTGAGATCTAATGATGATAAGAGCTAGGTATTATTATTATTAAGGCAACGGCGCTATACCCATTTACATCTGTGAGAATTTGCAAAATTCACTCTAGGTTAGACTTCAGAAAGATCCACCTCCCAGATCTGGATTTGGGCCCATCTCTAACAAACAGCTGGTTTTAAAATAAACTTGTGGTTCTTTTCCAGAGTTGTCTGGGCTTGTGTCACCCCTTTGCTGTGAACATAACCAGGGTCCTAACAAGTGCTACTGCCATCCGAACACCCAGGCAACAGCCTATGCTAGTGAAAGACTCTCGATCTGCCAGGATTCTTTCTGGATACTTAACCATGAATTTTACGTCTCTGCAGCAGCTAACTTCAGCCCAAAATATCCCTGGGCAGGCTGAAGGAATTAAAACCAGTCGATATTTCATGGGCTCATTCCAGCTGGTGAATGAAATCTACTATTCCCGTCACAGCAACTCTGCTTCGGACACATTCAAGAGGGAGGCTGCGAAGCTGGAGAACGTGGTAGGCATGGTTCTTTTTCCTTGTTCATGGTCCACACAAGAAATCTGTATCTCCATCAGCCGTCCCTTCCCCATTCTGTCTGTCCAGCCAGTCTCTGTTTACTGTCTTGTCTGTCCATCAGTCCTCGCTCCCCTTATCTCATTACCCAGTGCCTTGCTTCAGGGGTAGATAAAATGTGTTCCAAATCACACACATGGAGTGTACTCTTGATCCCACTAAAGTCAATGGCAAAACTTCCATTGGTCTCAACAGAGTCAGGATTTTGCCTATGGTGTTTTACTATATGGCCAGCATCTACCTTCATTAATTCAGGAGTATACCACGCAGAGACTATTGTTCCCAGTATGCACTGTTTCATCTTGAGCTGAGGACCCAGGGTCATAGAATATTGCTTAGATGTAAGGATGAGGCATCAGAGATAAGTCACCTCTCCAGCTCTTCCCTCACCTTCTTGGTTTCCTCTTCAACTCATCTGCATACTGCAATCCCATTGGCTGAAATAAGAGATGTTTGAGGGGTGGTAAAAAGGTTAGAGGTTGGGCCGGACTTCCATGTGATGAGAGACTGCAAACACTAGGGTTATTTAACGTAGACAGGACAAGAGCTATAGGAGACTTGGTTGGACATTGAGGATTAGGAAGGGGACTGTGGAGATGGGTCACTCGTGTTTTGACCTGTCCTATAAAACAAGAACAAGGGATCCGGTTATGAAATTAATGACAGGTGCATTTAACACAAGTAAAAGGAACTGAAGGGAAAGGATAGCCCTGTGCTTATGAACCTGGACCGGGACTCAAAAGAACTGGGCTTGGTACTCAGCTCTGCCAGACTCCCTCTGTGACCATGGGCAAGTCACTTGATTTCTCCAGACCTCAGTTCCCATCTGTTAAATGGGGATATTAATCCTTTCTCCCACCCTGTGTCTAACTTATCTATTTAAATTATAAAAACCTTGGGGTAGGCACTGTCCCTCACTATGTGTTTATACAGCACCTACCACAATGGAGCCCTCATCTCAAGCCTCTAGGTGATACCATAAAACCAATCATTACTAATAAGCTCATCACACCGCAGATAATCAACCTGTGGAACTCACTGCTGCAGGAGGGTGGACGCAAGCACTGTGTGACGGATTATATACTCCACACTGGCATTCAGAGGGTTATCTGGAGCTAGCATGTTCAATTAAAGAACCTGGCTGCACCTGGAGGGTGGGCCAGGCCCAACTGAAGATGAAGCCCAGCTGGGTGGTGAGCATAAAGGGAGGAAGCCCAGATGAGAAAGGAGCTGCAAGGAGAGAGGGGAAGAACTATGCAGTTCCTCTCTGGTCACTAGAGAGTGAAGGAAGGGCCTAGAAACAGGCAGATTGTACGGGAAGCCCAGGAAGGAGCTGTGGGAAAAGGCCTGAAGGAAGGCCAAGGTAGGAAGAAGTCTAAGGAGGCAGAGAGGAATCTGTGACAGCAGACCTCAGCTGCTCACCACACAGTCCCTGGACTAGAGCCCAGAGCAGAGGGAGGGCCTGGGTTCCCCTACTGCCTGCTGGAAATGGTAGTGAGGACCCACTGGCAGAGCCTGGGTAGAGACGAAGAGTCTGGAGGAGTGAGCCCAGGGAGGGGTGGTTTGAGTTTAGTCTATTGGACTCTGTTTATCCTGGAAGGGATAGAACTAAACGTGACATGGCCGGAGAGCTGAGTCACAAGAAGAGGTGGGCAACAGCTATGGGGCTGGAAGGGCTGTTGGCAGAGGGCTCTAGGCAAAGCAGAGTCTGTCCTGCCCTCCCCAGCCATGGTGGGTCATGTTAGGGGTGAGCCACTCTTCTACACACGCCGCTGGGTTTTGAGAGGCAGGGTAGTTTGATGGCCAGCCATAGCAGGAAGCGTTACAAAGGGTTACCATAAGGATGTCCCAATCTCCACATCTCTCCAGCCCCAGCCCCTCTACAGACCTTCCTGGGCCTTGTCTCCCCCACTCACCTCTTCACTCCATCTGCTACAAAGATTTTCTCCTTCCCTCCCACCTAGAGAACTCACCCCAGGATCTTGCAAGACTTATCTTCAGCACCCCATACAGACACCCCTGCCCACCGCACACAGACCTCCCAGACTCCCTCGAAATCCCTGCACTCCTAGTTAGGGTTGCCACCTGTCCAGATTTCCCCAGGATCATCCCTCTCTGAGGTAGCTGTCTTGGGAAATCTGTCAGGGGGCTCAGCACACCCTGCCAGCTGTCCAGCAGTTGATGGGCTCAGAATCATCCCTGCTATGTCCCATTTTTTGCCTCTCAGACATGGCAACCCTACTCCTATCCTCCTACCCCTGTCTTCCGCCCCTGCTCAGACTATTCCCCCGCCTCTGGCTGAGAACCTGGCAGCTCTGCTGTGTAATTGACACAGCATTTATCTAAATTACAGCTTTCCCTAATCCTCTCTCCATGCGGACTTCCTGCTCCGAGGCCCAGGTTTACACACGACACGTTGACTGAGCCAGATTATTGGGCCCGCAGTTAAAACAAGAAGTTAAATCTGCGGGGGTGGAGGGTAACTTTTTGCCACTCAACAGGATGCCTGGGCTATGCGAGCTCTGCCGGAGGAGGAGCTGGAATGAACCAAGGCCAATCACCTGCCTGTGCAGACAAAGGATGGATTGCGCGTGCACATTGAGAGGGTTAGCGGGTTTCCCACCTGGCCCGTTAACAGCATATGGGGGCTGTGCAGCCCCCACTCACGTGGGGACCAGGCTGGGAATGGAATACACTGAGCTAAACCTGCCCCTGGTGCTGCAATTATGTCACCATGGCTCTGTCTCCTTGTGCACCTCAGGCCAGCCCTGGAATAACACACCGGGGAAGGCGTGAGGGGCTGGGGACGCTGAGGGGTGGGAATAGCTGAGAACCTCCTTGTGATCATGAGCACCTTGCCTTTCTTCCTTCCCAGAGAGGGGATCCCATGGCACCCTCATCAGTGCCTCGATGGCTTCCCCTCACCCTGTTATTCCTCCCCACTGGCTGAAGATGCAACAGGCTCCCTTCTAACCCCACCCCTCAACCAGTCATTGCTGAGGAACATGTGGCTTTTCCTCCCAGGGCTGTCCCCAGCCTTTGCCCCCACAGCTCCTGATCACTTGTGGACAGAAGAGCTGGATGAGGGTTCAAACCTGGGTCTCCTACATGCCCGAGCACTAGCCACTTGACTATCCAAATGGCTCTTTCCCTCCCCCTTGTAACGAGCTGTGCAACAGGCACATTTCCCTCATGTGCCTCCATCAGTGGGCCAGCAGGGGTGCTATAGCAACAGAGTCGTCCTGAACCTCAGTTGCATCTTGCATCACCTTGGCAATGCATCTGATCATTACCAGGCAGAGATTTGGGGTCCCCAGTCCCGTCTGCACTAGAGCCTTCCGTGGGGCTGAGTTGCATGCTGTTGCTATTGAGCTTTGCACTGTTCAAGAGGAGAAGCACAACTCCTTGAACAATTCTCTCCTAAACACCAGCTACCCCAGCGTTGAGAGGGGAGGCCTCAATCCAGACCCTCGGGAGACCCACAGTGACGGCAACCACCTCAGTTGGCACGAATTGGTTCCCTTGCTACCTTCCTCTTACTGTTGTGGTAACAGCACAGAGAGCTGGGATTGTCAGAAGCCCGGGGGGACATTTCCTACAGTATAATCATAGAATATCAGGGTTGGAAGGGACCTCAGGAGGTCATCTAGTCGAACCCCCTGCTCAAAGCAGGACCAATCCCCAGAGAGATTTTTGCCCCAGATCCCTAAATGGCCCCCTCAAGGATTGAACTCACACCCCTGGGTTTAGCAGACCAATGCTCAAACCACTGAGCTATCCCTCCCCCCATAATGTGAGGGCACAAATGCTCCTGGGCTAAGGACAATGTTCCCCACAGTGCACTGGGGGGAAGAGAGAGCCCCTGAGGGCTGGGGAAACATTTCCCACAATGCATTGGGGGGAAACAGAGACCCATCCCCAAGGCTTAGGGAAACATTTCTCATAATATGGTGGGGACCAGATACCCCTGAGGCTGGGGGAATGTTTCCCGTAACAGAGAGCCCCCATAATGCATTGGGGTGGGGGGGGACAAAGACCCTTGGAGGCCTCCCATAATGCACCGGGGAGAAGAGAGATCCCTGCAGAAACATGGCCCATGGGACAGAGGGAAGGGACAGACCTGGGTTAATTGGCTGAATAACCATCTTGTTTCCAGACCACGAGGTGTAGCTTGGGGAGGAGGGAATCACCCAGAGCAAGGGCTGCTCTGTGCTGCTGACTCCCTGCCAGTGGGTGGGGGGCGGAGTGAAGGGCACTGGAACCACCGGGGGGATAAATCTGGCTGCCAGAAGGAACCTTGGGGAGTGAAGGCCTCTGAACACAGATATCATCTCAGCCTGTGCCCCAGGCATATACGCACGGGCCCTGACGTCAGCAAGGACAAGGCACGTCCAGCACCTCCCTTCTCCAGTGCCAGCCCACAGGGCGATCTCCAGGGTTGGATGGGGAGGTGGTATCAGATTCCTGCCCTGAACCGGCTCGGTTCAGCTCGGCTCCCTCCAGCACCAATGCCGGGCCTCCCGCTGGGCACATGCTGGGCTAACGTCTGTGCTCAGCAGCCGAACCCACTTCCCCACCATCCCTCTAACTCTGCCTTCCTCCTTTAGTGCATGGCAGGGATGCTGGCATCAGTATACCTTTGTACGCCACGTGGGTCAACTGCCTGCTGCCCTGGCCAACTCGGGGCCTCGCAGCTGTAGCCTGAGAGGGGCTTTGGAGCAGCTGGTGTCTGTCACTTCACCTTCCACAGGGCTGGGGTCACATGTTCACCCTGGGGCTTGCAGCACCCATGGTAGTGCTGATCCCAGCAATTCCCGTGAACCCAGCAGCGGAATCTTGCCCAAACGCTCCCCCGACTTTAGGCAGGAATGATATTTCCCAGGCCCCATCTCTCCTCCCTCTGGCTGCGAAGCTCGGTGTTCGTTCCCAAGGGCTGGGAGGCC